TTAAAGTGCTACTTGCATGAAAATGGCCTTATTTCAAAACTTCAAGCAATACAAATATATGACTCATTGATATCAATTAAAAACAATTGCGGGAAAATATTTGTTTTGGAATTATCCCACATCAGATAAATTTTGATTCAAAAGATGGAAGAACAAAAGGATTGAGTAAATGACGTCATCTACTCCAACATTTTTTGCCCAAATTATCAAGGATTTGTATCAATATCTTCTTGAAATCTGCTGCTTCATGATTATTAGACCCATATGAATAGGTCTATTTGATTTCCAAGTCTTTTCTTAAGATTCGAAATTTTCGTCYAAGTAGCCCTTTAAAAAGAAAAGAAATTCCAGATAAAAACTTAACACAAGGGATTAAACGACATTGGTTATCTTGGAGGAAAACGTTTACATAGATAATTGATGTATGCTTTGACGAAAAAATTAATAAGACCGTTGTTCCTGTTAGGACAGCAATATCCGTAATTCTTTTGCTATTTCAAAAACATTGGGCAGAATGAGGCGACATTTTCCGGTTGATTGAAGTGGGGCGAAGCGCGAAATTTGAACATCAGTCCCGGCTAAATACAGCCAAGGAAGGACCAAACTACCTTTTACCGAAAACAGAGTTTAAATAAGGGTATCAAARCCGATACGAATGAATAACGATAGGGAAGGATAGACACGCTACCTGGGGCACAAATGCATCGGTCTATCACGTGACCGGGATATCAAAACTTGTCACAGACTACTATTTGTATCCCGTGAGGAACGGGATTAAGGCNTTTTGCGTGCGTAGGTTGGTATACGTAGTTCCAACTGAATCCGATAGCAAATCGTCAATATCAAAGTTCGGCAAAGGAATGCTGTCAAACGTATTTTGAGCTATAAGCAAATCGTCTTCAATGTTCGACATCGTTTCCAGAAAAAATATTCAAATTTCGATTGCACGCTCTCGCATGAACAGGTTTTCTTAAAGGAAACTAATTTCAGCAGGCAATAAAAAAGTCTTAAGAAGAGAGGATTCTATTGTTTGAATCCCAACCTAGAAAACATTCAATTTAGTCCATTCAGTTTTTCCGAAAACCATGTAAATTGGAAACTAAGTTTTTTAGTTACTCGCACGTCCAGAGCACTCTCGCTTGCGTCACTCAGGCTGTATATAGCGTAATTCCTCCGTTCTCGGTAACTAGCTTTTACATGTAGCAAAAACAAAGAACAAAAACAAAAAAAAAAAAGAAGATAAAAATTAGATTAAAATCTTTTACATCTAATTAAACAATTTGCTTTGATTTGTTATTGCACATAGAAATTAAAAATTGTCATTGTGCAAACCAGCTAATAAACGAGATAATACTAATGAACTTTTTGAAGCTCACAGTTTGAAATACCCATAAATGTCTCACGCTCAAAATTAGGAGAGAAAATTCTTTTATTCGTTATATTTATTGATTTCAAAACAAAGAAATTGTGAATTCTAAAAATGGTTGATAATAAGAAGCGAGTGTGCATCTTCTTGGAAATAGAGCATGGATTTCAAGTGTTCTCGGTCAATCACATCGCCCGTACTATTATAGCTATATCATAACTTATGATGTCGTTTGTGCAGTTTCAAAATGTGCTTATCGTGAGTTCTGACATTTAGTTTAGAATTTCAGCGTTCACAGTTTTTTAATTTATACATAAATTGCCAGTTCAGCTCAATTTCATGAGATGTATTTGTGCCGAACTGATCAAAACGTACTCTGAGATATATTGTATCAACAACAAGTCTAAATATCTCAGTTTCCAAAGAAAATAGTCGTCGTCTTTTAACCCTGTTAAGATAGGACCAGTGTTCATACCTTGTCACAGACTAGTTTTCATCCCGCGAGGCATGGGATCATGACGTAGTACCACAGGTAACGACAAATGACAAAGCGCGCGCGCGCTCTTCGAAGCAAATAATAAGTAATGCGCGCGCTTATACTTTTCTCGCCATGATTTTTGTTTATGAATTAATAAAAAACAATAAAAATGCATATGTGTGCCCCAGCTTAATGGGTACAAAATCGGAAACCGAGGGAAAGATAAATAGCCGCATCTTTTAACGATATTTTCAAGCTGTCAAGATCAGCCGTAAAATGTAAAGTAAACTAATTTCCTAGAGCTTTTAGTCAATTTAACGTGGGAAGCAAGAGAAGMAAGAGAAATAGTCGCTACGCTCGTGTTTCTAAGCTTGCTTCTCTCGTGTTTTTCAACTCCCACGGGGGGGAGGGGGGTTATATCAGACGACAGAGACACGCGCGACGTTTTAAATTTCTTAAATAGAAAAACGTTTGAAATATAGAAATTCAAACTTTCAGTCAAATCTGTTGTATTTAATGGAAAGTCCTTTTTCTTTACATCAAGATATTATTTTTATTTATTATTTTCGCGATCGGTTTTACAGAAGACCTCTAGCCATACTGCGACATGACTCACCAATGTGCATGGGTCAAACATCACCTGACTACGTTGTAAATATTTCATTWCGTAATACTTTTTATTGTGACATTTTACCACCTCCACAATTTCTTTCGACTGGTACGTATCGGCAATTGATACAGCATCATTTCATTAAGTGAAAAAAAAATGTTTTCCGAACAGAATCCTTAGCACAAATTGCCACTGGCAAGTTGCCTTTGCGTCTAGATAGAGCCATAGTAATGTCTGAAGTTTCCACAGCAAGATATCGTACACTCTAAGTTAAAGCTGTAATGGCTCTCCAGATCATCATTTTGCTCGTAGCACTAGTTTTGCTGGATGACAAAGTTTGTAAGTACACATTTGATAAAAACTTTAAATTGATATTGATGTCACAAGAATATCACAAAACCTCTCGATTTTGTTGCGCCTCATTGTTTCGTTGTTTTTCAATCTGCTCYTTAATAAGAACGACAATATTATTTGAAAAACTTGAAACAATTTATTTCGCCAAATTGCGTATATTGACATTACTTTTTTTATTTTTCCGGGGCTTAAGAAAAATTATTAAAAGTCATMAAAGTCAAAATTATTAAAGTTTTCTTTTTTTAAGTAGATATGTAATTTTATTAATTTTGAAAATACATGAATCAGCTAAAAGATAAAAATAAAAAGCAGTTTGATTTGATTTTGAAATGTGACAGACTAAGTCAGAAGTATCTAATTTTACATTGCATTAGTAGTTTTAATTTCGTGCAGAATGATGAATTATTCCGAAGACTACTGAATGTTTATTCAACATCTTCATCAGCATTCTTTCAGTGTGTTGAAACTTAATATAAAAACGTTGAAAATGTCTGTATACTTCCTCCATGTAGTACCGCAAACGTCAAAACTAACCGTGAGTGGGAAAAAAATGACTATAGTTTCGGMTTTTGATATTAGTAGATTCGGCTTTTGATAATATATGAA